ACAATGTCTAACTGGTCCTACAGCATGAGATTCAGTAGTCTTATCAGCTAGGAGCTTCAACTCAACCAAGTGACTGTTGGTCAATACAATTGCTGTCTATCCTCCCTGTTCATTATTTGTCTTTCTGACCAAAGCAATAGGGAGAAAGGGTGCTCACACTAGAAAGTCACGCACATTCTAGTGAAGAAAACATTACTATTTTGGGGAGAATTCACACCTAGTTTAGGTGACTAACTTAAGACATGAATTTCCTAAGCAGCCCCTGCTCAGACAATAAAAAGATAAACTACTCCAGATGTGGAGCAAGAACCTAATTTAGATGCCTTCACTCTTCCTTACTTCTCCATTGAAACAGACACCACTTGAGAAGGTATTATATTCATTCCCCTGCCCCCAGCTTGTGCTGGGAATCTGGTAAGTCACAAGGTTTTTCTTTTGTAACTTTAGAATGCAGAAGGTATTATTTAAAGGTCTCTGAGGCTACATCAAATCCAAGTACCATGCAGTGTGCACATGTTCATATTTAGTCATCTGCATAGGCTACTGTGAGTGACACTGGGCCATTTTTACAGGATGAATGTTGGTGTATGAGTAGGGCTTTTGTGGCCTCCCATGACCCTCATGCACCATAATGCCTAGGTTCTGAGAACTATTTACAGAGATGTAAATAGGAAGATGCTGCCTTTCACTGGCAGGTGAAATCTACTATTAGTAGAGAATTGAGTCCCTTCTTCAAGAAGAAAAATTGCTCTCTCACTGTGTATCCTTATCAGAGACATATTTAAGATATTATTGGATGCACATACTGAAATTGTGTCAGCAAATTAATTCACAGGACAACAGCCAGAAAATTTTAATAGCAGTTGTAAATATCTTAAAATGCAGAAAAAAGCAATATAATCCAAGAAAAGAAATGTGCTTAAAAATAATTTGAAAGGAGTTAACCACATATACAGACCATGTATTTCAATTACAACTGAATGTGAACTGCTAAATTTTTAAGGTCAACTGGTTTTGCGTCTATCTGGTTTTCTTATTTTCTAAACACTCTCAATGAAAAACAGGTCAGAGAAAGAGATAAAAAACCCCATGATTTGGAAAGGAGGTCCATTAGGAAAATGTGTGAAACAAGAAAGGGGGGAAAGACATCAGGATTAAACAAAAAGGTGCCCAGGAGTCTTTCCAATAAATCCAGATAACATAAACACTGGCTTTTCTGGTTGCCAAAATGACCCCTAGTGCTGAAAGACAGTTACTCTATAATAATTTGGAGAGCTGGTGTAAAGAACAAAATTAATTAAGACAGGAAAAAATGGCATAGAAAAACCTAGCAAATGTGGAAATTCAGAATGCTACCAGATCTTATTTTACTGGTGTAAAGTAAAATACATCAAGTTGTGGGATGTATTGTCTTATTTGGTGCTTTGTAAAGCAGAGCAAGAGTTGCTTTCTGTTTTACCTTCATAGCTGCTCTGAAAACTGAAAAGCTGAGTTTGACAAAACCATTTCTGTTGTTAGAAAACCACAATCAAAGAAGTGGGGCCAGACAGTTATTTCCCTAGGTTTAGTTCCATACAAGAAAACAATTCTTTCCTCCAACAGAGCACTGTGATCCCTGGAGTCCTCACCCAAAATGGCAGTTACAAATACAGACAGAATCCAAATGCTCAATAAATAAGGACAGACAAGTATGTTTTCAAGCATTTCAAGAAGCTAATTTATTGATTAGAATATAACCCTGGATGTAGATGATCATATTCTAGATGGCTAAAAGGTGTGAGAATTGAAGAGCCCAGCTATTTTCTGTTAAAATTTCTGTCAGTTTTAAGATACCAAAGATAATTCCAAACTTTAGTCAACATTTGCCTTATTATTACTACTGTATGAAACTTGCATTTCTTTAACTGAAAGCTCTATGTGAAAGTCTCTGCCTATGAATAATGCAGTACTTCATGCCACGCCTTGCCTTTCAGACCGGCAGGCAAAATGAACACTGTCCCTAGCCAGGGAAGCCCGTCAGCACTAGTGCGACCAGGCACTGATCCACTTTCTGCTCAGGCAGCACCACAGCAGCCTCTTCCCAGTCACGCAAGGGTGCAAGGTCGGCAGTGAAGGCTCCTCTACTCCCCCTCCTGGGAGGTCCGAAGTTCAGCGGCTGTCTTTCCTCACTAAGTCAACAGCCTGCTTTCTGCTCCAGAAATGAAGTACAGTCGAGCTGGATGGATTTTGTAGATGAAGGCAGGAGCTGGGAAGGGGCAGAACTCATCCCCCAGCTGTCCACAGAAGGCAGCCCCACTGGGATAGACAGCCACTCCTGCTCTCCTGTGCTGGGGAAGCTCAGGAGGCCACAAGGCATGACTGTTTTCCATTGAAGTCCCCTTTTTCAGACTCTCTATGTCTGGAACACCCCAGCATCCAGGCCTCATTCTTTCTAGCTGCATGGTGGACTGGTTTCCCTAGAAATCAGACACCACAGCAGCACTTTGTATAGCGCCTGCAATGCCATCTTCAACCTAGCCACCCCAAACTAGCGGATTTCCACCAGTGACAGTGTTATCATCAGTGAACAAGACTACAGAGTAATGCCTGAGCAATCCCAGTGTAGATAGCTGATGCATTTATTGCACCCTGCCTGAATGGCATCTGGCATTTTTAATACCACCATTCAACAAGAACTAAAAGAAACAGCTCTAAACTAGGAGGATGAAGGCAGGGTTTCTATATGCAGTTTTCGCAGATTAAAAAACAACAACTTCTGCAACACAATAGGCAAAACTATACTGAAGGAGAAACACAAGCAACTTGTAAAATTGATGACAATGGAGCAAGTCCTTAAGAATGCTTCTCAAAACATCAATCATACTGACTCCCAGCCACACCACACCACCATTACGCAGTCCATGTGCTTTCAGACAGACATTATTCCACAACGCATGGGATTCCAAAATCACCGAGTTTCTGGAAAATAGATTTTGTCCTGATTTTTGTGACAGATGGAGTTGATAGTCTCAGGATGAAAAAAAGCGCCAGTTTTGACAGGCAGCAGATACCGATGCCCCTTGTGGTTGGAGACGATGTTGCTCTGGAATTAAGGTAGCACTGAAACGAAAGGCAGTGGGTAAATTCACCACTATTTACTTTGCTATGCTCCTCTCGCTGTGCCTTAATATTTTTATATCTACTTCCTCATAAGCAAAGCAAAGTGAACGGAGGACTTCAGCAAATATTTTGCTTTCACTGAAAACTCTTTAACAGACTTTTAAAAACTTTTTACTAGTTGGTAGATAAATTATCAAAGAACTATACTCAGATTTACTGTATTTCTGTCACAAGACACCATTGTAAGTCAGTGTCTTAAAACCGTGCACAAAAACCTCAGGCGAGAACCTGAGTTGAATGAGTTTAAAATCGGTGGAGTATGTGGCAAGTGGAAAGTTGCAATACTGAAGGCATAGCAATGAAATACTTACATGGTCGCAGTACACCACTAATAGAGAGAGCTTTGCTCTCCCTGAATGTACTAGCACACTGAAAACAGAAGATCTATCTCTCTTTCAGTAAGAACAAACTCGGTCCCATTTTGAGCCTGATCCTCCCTACCTTTCTGGAAGCGGCTCTGCCCTGACTTGAATCACTGGGAAGTTCGGGTACACACGTCATCCGGGCTAGAGACCTTTTTTTTTACCCCCCTTGTTGAAAAGAGCAGGACGAGCGTCAGAGCAATGTCCCCGCAAGAGCAGCACGGAGAGCTCCGCCGCCCGTCCCCGGCGCGGTGCTGCCGAGCACCCTGCGAAGTCGCCACGGCCCGGGCAGCCCCGGGGCACTGGCCCGCCCGCTGCCGCCGAGCGCCTCTCGCCCGGCCGCCGCGCCGCCTTAACGGGAGGAGGGGCTCCTCGGGGGGCTGTCACTCTCCTTAAGCCTTTCCTTTCAAGCTTTGAATGTGAGCTGCCCTCCGGCCCCCCTCTCTCCTTCCCTCCCTCCAGCACATCGTAAAGAGAAGGAGGGGGAAAAGAAAAAGGTTTCAACAACAGGCTGGGCCAATGGCAAGTGGCGAGGCAGGGAAAGGGGGCCGAGCGAAAGGAGAAAAAAGTGGAGAAAGAGAGAAAGAGCGAGAGAGCGCAGGCTGGGGGGGAATGTGTAAAAGAAGAAGCGTTGCTAATTTTTTTTGTTTGTTTGCTTTTCCATGCATGCATAATGGAGCCTAATCAGAGCACATTGCTGCTGCTCGGAGGGCACTTTTGTATTTAAAGCCTTTCAAAGAAAAAAAGATCCACAGATGGATCCGTAGAGCAGCTTGCAGGGCGTGTTGACAACAGAAGCAGCATCAGTCGCCCAGACAGAAAGAGACCGCGAAGGCTGCCTCTTCTCCTTTCCCCGTGCTCTCGTCTTGCTAGCGGGGAGAGACGTTTCTTCTCCTCGCCACCCTAAAGTGCGACCAGTACCGAGAGGGAGCGGAACTGGGACTGTAAATGGGATCGGAGCGGCTGGCATGTGCAGAGATGCTTCGAGCGGAGAGTTAAAAGCGCCCGAGGAGGCAGCAGCAGCTGGGCATTTACTTTGTGGAGGGGGAAAAAAAAAGAGACGGAACTGCATGAAGAGCAGGACAGCACTATGAGCTCTCCCGGCGCAACCTGCAATTCCCCGAGTGCAATCCGGAACCACTGTCGTCCGAGCCCCTGTTTGCTCTGACTCCCCCCCGCACCTCTCTGGGCGCCTCCGCCACCGCCGAGCCGAGCCGGGAACAGCGGGAGGTGGGCACAGGACGGCCCAGGACGCCTGCTTCGTACCCACGGCTTCAGCTCCCGGGGGCTGGAGAGCCCCGGGCCCGGCGTGCATGGATTGATGCGAGACCTCATGCACACGGCCGGCGGGAGTTTTGGAAACTTTTCCACGGGCTGCAGCTCCTTCTCCTCCTCCTCTTCCTCCTCCTCCTCTTTCTTCTCGTCTACTAGCGCCTCTTCCCCGCTCGCCCGCGGCTGCAGCCGCCACCCCCGTCCGCAATGGTGGCCCGCTCGCCCGCTCGGCACGGAGGCGGCAGGCGGCGGTGGCCGCGGGCGGCCGCCTGGCTGTGGCTGGCGGCGGCGCTGGGCGCAGTGTGGCCGCCGCGGGGCTCGCTGGTGCTGGGCCGGCGGCTGATCTGCTGGCAGGCGGTGCTGCAGTGTCAGGGGGAGCCCGAGTGCAGCTACGCGTACAACCAGTACGCCGAGGCGTGCGCCCCGGTGCTCCTGCAGCAGCAGCCGCCGGCGGCGGGCGGCGGGGATGGCCCGACGGGCGCTGCAGGCGCAGCCGCCCCCTCCAGGCGGCGGTGCCCCAGCCACTGCATCGCGGCGCTCATCCAGCTCAACCACACCCGGCGCGGCCCGGCGCTGGAGGACTGCGACTGCGCGCAGGATGAGAACTGCCGCGCCACCAAGCGCGCCATCGAGCCCTGCCTGCCCCGCACCAGCAGCCCCGCGGGCAGTGGCCCCGGCGGGTCCGGCCCCGGTGGCCCCGGCGTCATGGGCTGCACGGAGGCGCGGCGGCGCTGCGACTGGGACAGCCGCTGCAGCCTGGCGCTGAACCGCTACATGACCTACTGCGGGAAGCTGTTCAACGGGCTGCGCTGCACGCCCGAGTGCCGCGCTGTCATCGAGGACATGCTGGCCGTGCCCAAGGCCGTGCTGCTCAACGACTGCGTCTGCGACGGGCTGGAACGGCCCATCTGCGAGTCGGTCAAGGAGAACATGGCACGCCTCTGCTTCGGCGCCGACATGGGCGGCAACAGCGCGGGCAGCAGCGGCGGCTCGGATGGCGGCCTGGAGGAGTACTACGACGAGGACTACGAGGAGGAGCCGAGCCAGAAGGGGAGGGACGACGCGGAGGACAATGCCGGCGCCGATCCCGGCTTCCCAGTGCAGGCGGATAGCGCTGGCCGACCCGCCGCGGCGGCCGCGGCGCTGCTCGCCTCCGTCTTGCTGCCCCTGCTGCCGCGGCTCTAGTATCCCTCCCTCTTCGCATCCCTCCGTGCCTCCCTCTGTCACTGACTGTCTTCACCACTGCCTCCCTCCGTCCCCACCGCCGGGCCGGGCCGGGCCAGGCCCCCCGCGCCGAGCCGCCGCGGGCCTCCAGTCGAACGCTCCCGCGGCGGCCGGGGATCCGGCCGGCGGGGCCTCTCGGCGCGGAGCGGCTATAAACGTTCCGGCCGTGGATCTCCCGACCCATCGCCCCGGCGCCCCGTCCCTCCGTGTCTCCCCGTCTGCCTCCGCTGCTGCCTGCCGCCCCCCTCCGCCCCCTTTCCCCGGCCCAGCCCTGCGAGTCGGTGGCTGGAGCTGTGGCCGTGGCGCAGGGGCCGCTCGTGATTCGGGTGTTGGTCTCTCTCGAGTGTGCACTATGCAATTGCTGCCACCCTGCCTTCGAGTTACCAGCGAGCGGAGCGGCTGACAGAGACTGCGAGCGAGGCCGTCAGCTGCCCTCTGGTACAAACCGGGAGTCGTAGCACGCTGGTAGTGAGGATCTTTTAAGAGTTTTGACATGAAGATTAGTAAGAGGAGAGCAACCCAAACTTGCTGCCAAAGCGTTGCCGTACTGATCAGTCAGCAACTTGACTATCATTCGCCGCATCTCGCTCTTCATGATGCCGTGGTGCCTGAAGGGGGTTTACGCCGCATCTGCCATTAATTAAATTTAGGGAAATAGCAGACTGAATAAATTCGGTGGTTTACAGCACTCACTCTTGCACACACATCTTCCCTATAACAAAAGCGTGCCAGCAGCCATCTCTTCCTCTGTAACCTAGCGACATTAAAAAAATATTTTTTTTTCAGAGTTGTTGGCCATACTGAACAATGCAACTTTTGTTTTAAAAGAGCTCTGCACTGCCATCTTTGAAAGACACTTTTAAACTCGAGAACATGTGTGTACAAATATCCTGAAAAGTTTTATTGCCTCGTCATATCAGGGTGCTGACCTCTGGTAAATCTTATATTAAAAAAGTATTTAAAACTGGGATTTGTTACCAGTCGCTGTTCATTGTATATAGAATTCTATAAATTGTATGCTTTGGGGATAATTTATTTAAAAAAATAATAAAAAGTTTTAATTCTGCATCCTATTTGCCAGATAGCTGCATTTGCTACTCGTTTCTGAAAAGGTACAGGTTTCGTTTTATGTTTAAAGGGATACCAGCAACACTGATTAAGTGAATTATTTTCTAGAACATCAAATGTACAGTGTATTTTACAGATTGAAAGTTAACTTTCTTATTTGAAGAGACTTTATGAACGTGTTAGAATTGTATGAACGCATTTCTGAGCTGCCTTAAACCTTGTATTTTTTATAGGAGGTGTAAAAAAGGCCTGTGTTTTAAATATGTATGGCTTTTTGTATTTTCTAAACGTGTAAATTAGTAAAGAAAGAGCTTTAAATAATGGATGCGGTTAAATTGTTTTCTAGGGACACTTGAACTCTCAGAACCCGAGGTTGGGGGGGATGGGAGGAAGCGGGAATTGAACTACAGAATAACAGACCAAAAAACACTCAACAAACAAAAATTCTCTGTTTGCCTGTAATACTTTACATGGATGTAAATTACTGCTATTCTTACTTTAATGAATAATTACATGCAAAAAGTAAATACAGCTTTGAAAGTACTACTTTAAATGAGTTGTTCATTTTATAATGCGTTGGCATGGTAACTTGCCAGTGCTAGAAAAGAGTAAAGCAATTCAAAGAAGGTGCTCCTGTATGTATGTATGCACCGCGCTTTCTTCGTGGGGGCACGTTGCTCTCACTGACTCATGTAGAAATGCTCCTAGGCGTGCAAACAAGTGGTGAGAAATACATCACACAGAGGTGGCAAGCGTTTCGAACAAGGCTTCTCTTGGGGCAGGCAGGGGCACAGGCATCAAGGCGACTGCAACAAAACGGAAAGTTTATCACTCAGCCTGCCTTCTCCCACAACGAAGAATGCAAAAGTAAACACACTGAAGGGATCAGCAATTACTAGATCTTGTAATACTGTTCTTAGGAGTTGCTTTGCATCGTGTTGAAGCCTGGTTTGCTGCCAGAGCTACTGATCTACACTCAAACAGCCTTAGATAAATAATTACACTCTTAAGCTGTGTCGAGTGCTGATACACTTGACCTTGTAAATAGAAATGTTTGCAGTAGGAATAAACTCCAGCATTGGAAAATCTTTTAAACATTAACACAAAAGAGAGAGCTCAGTCCTCTGGGGATTTGAGTTTGGACTGTCAAGCTAGGCACTCACCAAAAAAAAAAAAAAAAAAAGGCAGGGGGAAAAAGTTTATTTATCTTCTATTGATGGTGTTTATTTAAAGCTTTTCGTTTTAAAGGCTGTAATTGCAAGGCAAGTCAGAAGTTTGAAAGCTACCACAAATAAACTTTGACTGAAGGAGCGACAGATTAGCAAGAAATTTTTTTTTCATCTTACCAGATCTTGACAGAGCACAAATCCACATCTGTCTGTTGTATAAATCAACAAAATTAGAAATCCCTGCTTCTGGATTAGTTATTTCAATGAAAGATTATTTTATTATTTCTTCAGGGTGTGAATTTGATTATATTGCCCAGCAGTCAATGCACACAAGCGCACATGCACTCCCATAAACCAGCCCCAAATAGTTGAGATACCTAACAAGTGTGTGAGTATGGTGCGCGGCTATGATTTGAAGTTTGTTTTTAAAGTCATCTGAATGGTTGAGTAAGCTTATTATTAAAACAAAGCTGGAAACTGTTTCTTCAGGAGGAGGACAGAGTAGTTGAGTGAGTCTTGTAAATAGAGTCAGCTTTCTATACAAAGTGCTGAGTTCACAAATGGGTAGGGATGATCTTAAATACCTCTTCAGAAGATGACCAGAAACGTATTTTCAGTTTGTCAACAGTTAGCACCCACAAGAACTATTTAACTCGTTGTTGATGAAAAATTAAGTCCCAGCTAAAACCCTTTATTTTTCTTCAGTTAGGAGTAAAGACATTAACACTAGAAAATCACTGATAATTAACTGTTACAATAAACTTTATTTTACAAGCTCCTGTCAGAAACATCTGCCTGCAATAAATCAACACTGAGCACCACTAGGCAGGGACCACTCATCTGTATGCTTCCTTCTCCACAGAAAGTGGATTGTTTTAATTTAAATAATTGTACAGTAAATACAGCTGAACTAATTCTGTCCTGTGAGCTCCTCTCCATAAGGAAATACCTCTGTGGGTTTTATTCTGTTGTCGAAGTAAGCACAATTTCCAGGAGGAATGGCAGCCTGTATTGGTATGTGTCCCAGCCAAAAAAGCCTGTGCAGATGTTGATGTCCATCAAATCTCTATGTCTTTTACTCGATATTTAGACAAATGGAAATTCTTGAACTGTCAAGTAATGTAGCAAGGACAGATTTAAGCAAGGAAAAGACTTCACATTCCCTGACAGAGGGAAATTTTTCACAGGAAGGGAAGTTGTCTTGTATGTCTGAGTATTGGATAGTGCTCTGTGCTGAGGTCCTGTCCAGCCTATCTCTTCCAGGGGGAGAAGGAACTTTCCATCATTTCATGTAAAATAATCCACTAGGTTCTGCTCCCTTTTCATTCCCAGTTACCAGGTTTGAATTCTTGGTGACAGTTTATTTGTCTTTGCAGGCACTTCAGTGACAAATGTTTAAGGGAGTGTGGGACAATGGTGGAGAACAAGGAGGCAGTTCATTGAACTGACAGTGACCATACAGTAAAAAGAGGGAGATTCAAGCTTCACTGATCACCCAAGCACACAGCAAAGCTTTTGTATGCAATCACAATGGACATAACATAAGGTCTCTGTTTATTTTTAACAATATACACCAATGTATACAGACAGCCATACATAACTTTAAAATTGTTATGAAACTAAGCCTTACAATGGCCATAAGCAAAGCTCTGGTTTGGCCAAGTCTTTTCATGACCACATTGGAAGGCATGATGGATTTTAGTTACAATCTCCTCTCCACTCCTCCTAAGAGCTTTTGGTGTACCAGATCTCTCACTGCAGGCATGCACCTATAGGACATAGAAAGGGCTGCGAAGGTGGTGGCAGACAGCTTTGCAGGTGCAGAACCAGACATTCCATCTCAATGCAATGCAAAAGCAGTACTTGCTTTTTGGTTTGTTTTTTTTCTTTTGAAGGTTGTTTTTCCTTTGGAAGGTGAGAGGTACTTCAAGTGCACGTATAAAAAGTAGTGGGACACAAAATCGTCGCCAACTGAGTAATGGAAAATGCTTCTTGAGTGACTGAGTTGCATTGCATCTTCAGATGTCCCTAAAAAAAAAATTCAGACCTTCAAGCGATTTTGTTCCTGTCCCCAGTAATAACATCACACACTGCCACACTGCCTGTGGTAACACCCATTGCAAGTCCTCAGGAGAAGCGGGTAGTCGTGCAGCAGAAAAGATTTTCAAATAGGAAGAGCAGTGCTTCTCTGTGAGATTTCATGTCTGTGATACA